CCTGTTGGTGTACACCCCCTATACAAAATCCCTGGCTTCAAGATCGAAGGTTTCTTCCTAAATATAATACACTAGTTGACTCTCAAATAGATTCCACTGGATGAAGAGTATTTCAGTCAATTCTAATTACTCCATATACCTTCAGTATATTGAGATCAACTGTTTTCCCTTGATAGAAATCATTTCATTTTAATGAAATGTAATAGATTTGAGTGAAATACATACTTCAGTGCTAGGAGTGATGGCTTAGCATTAATATGAAAATAATACACAGGTTTATTATTGTAGAGGAAACATTTAATGTCGATTTATGCATTAAATTGTCATTAGTAGTACCAATGCTACTTTGAATTCCAAAAATTCAGCATTAATTAACTTTCGCTGAGAAATAAATCAATGCATTATTTTCAGTTTTAATGCTAAGCCAGCATCTCTATTCAGTGCCAAGCATTCAAAATACTGAGAGGAAAATAAAATTAAGAGAAGACTTCTCATGAAAATAAATGGCTTTACTGAGAAGACATTTCCGTTCCTAATTATGTAATTTAATCTCATGTAAACTGACAACGTTCATATTCTATTCGAAGCGAATCAAAAACTAGTTATTTTTTTTTGCGAACCCTTAATGAGTTACATATTCTTCAGAAAATATCCTATCTTAAATCTTTGCTCGACAAGCTATAAATTTGTATGACAATTTCAAATGAAAAAATATAACATTATTTTCGATAAGACAATACTGCCATCTGTAAATTCTAAAACATATTCTTCGCTTTATTCATCCAATAAATACCTTATATGATCAACGGGTTTAATTAATAGTTTATTCGCTCATTGACGATTACGTTACGATGAGTAATAGATTTCACTAAATCATTCCTTATTTGTCACAATGTTATGCTAAATTAGTAATAGTAAGTGAAAAATTATGACTCTTTATATTAATAGATATTTATTTATTAAATATTCAGATGATGAAACAAACATTTGTCCATGATATTAGTCATCAATTACAATCGGCCATATTCTCCTCAGGCCTAGCAGCTAAATTAATATGTTTATTTTGTATTATTGGATATGGTCTTTCATATAGTCCACAATGTGTTCGAATACTCACAGTCATTCCAGGCCATGTTATGCCTCCAAATTTTTGGATTTGGTTTGTTGAAATCTTTTTCTATTAAAATATTTAAGTTTCCGTTTTCTTTCTCTATCTCTAGGACATTTGTAACACATACTTTTATTGAATTACATATATGGCATACAATAATTGATGTTATTGTTGTTTTTCTTTATTCAAAAATGATTGAACCATTATGGGGTACAAAAGAATTATTAAAATTTTATTTTATTGTTACAATACCAAATGCATTAATTGTAACATTTACTTATTTTTTATTTTATGGTTTTACATTTAAAGAAGAATATTTATTTGAAAGACCTATTTATGGTTTAGCATCATTTATCGGTGCATATTCAGTTATTATTAAACAAATTATGCCTGATACAGTTATAGCAACAACACCATTTTTTAAACTTAAACAAGATCATGTACCATTATTAATTATTATTCTATCAACACTATTATGGATTGCACATGCTGTACCAATACATTTTTTAATAATGCTTAGTTTTGGTATTATTATTAGTTGGACCTATTTAAGATTTTTTCAAATTCATCAAAATGGAACGAAAGGTGATATGTCATCAACATTTTCGTTTGCTAGGTAAGGAGAAATTCATTTTTCGAATTTGATTTTATTTAAATGGGTTTACTTTTTTTTTTCTAGTTTCTTTCCATCATTTATATCACCAATAATAAGTGTTTTTGCTAATACAATTTTTGAAATCTTTGTTAAAATTAAATTATGTCAACCATATGTAAAGAAATATAATGCTTCGTCATCGTCAAGTGTTACTATAACAATTCCAGGAGCTGAAGCGGCTGATGCTGATAGACGAAGGTTTGTTTATAGATAATAGAGTAGTCATAAATAAGTGATAATCAGTGATTTATCTAGTGAGAGAGCAATGATGGCGGTGCCCTCCCGGAAACCGATTTTGTTCTTCCGAAAATTGCAATTTCTGTGCTTATACTATGTATTTTCGCTCCAGAAATTAGAACCTGTGATTCTACACTTATTCCAGATGAGTATAATTAGTAAAATATGTCATGAGAAATTGACAATGAATCTATTAAGTATATCAAATTAATCGTGAGTAGAATCAACGATAGATTTCAAACTATTTATTTTAATTAAAATATGTTTGTATGTAAGATAAAATTAAGAAGTCAAATTCCCAGGTCAAAAAATCTTACAAGAATATGACGAAAAATCGTGGTTCCTGAGATCTTGTATCAAGTCATACCACGTTTTTCTTAAAATATCTTACGTGCATTGTATTTTCTCAGTAATAATTTTAAGTGAGATTTTGAAAAAATATTGATTTTAGTAGAATATTATGGTGGCATTGTAGTGCATAAGAATCTTATAACAGTTCTTATAGTACGAACCAGTGCAAGGAATCAGGAACCACGATTTTTTTGTATGATCCTTGTCTGACTTCATCCGATCATATGTGATCAGAGACAGGATTCTTACAAGATCTTGCTATCTGATTGCTCGACCCGGGAAGCTATTTTGTAAGTGCAAAAAATCAGAATAAATTATAAGATAATTTTTGGAAATAGTACTGATGCCGTTTTAATCTGGTGCCTACTATTTTGTCTTCGGTCCAAAAATAGACTAGATTTTTATATTTATTATTCTATTATGACAAATTTATACATAATTTCGATGAAAATCTTTCTCATTGAATATGAATACTGTTTCCAATAAGTGCAAACATTCTGTATATTCTTAATTGTATTGAATATAAATTAGAGTACTTCTTTGGTTTTATTCTTTCATTATCGATTGATTTATCTTCATTTGAGATTATTGAAAATTCGCTTAGTCAAAAGAAAGCAAAGCTAACATAGATATTCGCGTTTTATTAACTTCTGAAAAGAATATGGTTGTTAATAGTACTGATACTTTTGCGTTAGTATTATCATAAGTGCTTACATCTGTTATAAGCAAACGGACTACTTGATAGTATATCTATTGGATTTCCATGAAATTTTTGTCATGTCGACATATACTTATTAACCTTCGCAGAGTAGAAGTATTTATCATAGATCGATAATCAAAATGCATATATCCTTAATATTAATAAATGAGAGCAGATAAGAAGTATATTTATTCATCGTATACATATATTAAAAGTTGTTATATTTCGTTTTATAATATCCTTTGTCCTCTATTTATTTTATAATACAGCTGTCGTTTATATTATTTCAAAACAGTAAAGAATCTATATTTAGTTGCGTCTTTTTCTCGACGACAACTTGTTTATCTTAACTTGATCTATTGATTATACATTTGTGTTATTTCTACGAAGATGTTTGTTTAAATTAGTTAATTTACTATAAACTTTGAAAGAATATCTTTTCTTTCTCTTTTTATTTTAGACAAAAAGCATTAAAAGCTTTAAATGATCGTATGAAAGTAAAAGATACCTCAAGTGAAGCATGGCCTGAATTAGATGACACTCAACAAAATCCATTATTACCTCCTACACATCATATAGACAGTTCATCGGTAAAAATAGACATGAATAATTTACATGGAATATCAACATCTAATAAAGAAGATTTAAATCAAGAACAAACAACATCATAAACATTAGTGATTCTTGTTTCGTTCTTTAATCACATTGTATAATAAAAAAACAATTTCGAACAAAATCTCTCTCTCTCTCTTTTTTTATTTCTCTTTAAATTGATAATCAAATTGAGAGTTCAGTAATCTGAGATTTTCTTTTATTGTTAAAAAATTCAAGAAGATTGAAAACTAATCTTCTAAACTTATAATATTACAAAAGATGTGCAAAACGAGACATTTTTACATATCATTGAATTGAAAAAATCGACATATGCACATTATACTGATGTCATAATTTGAATATATTGGTTTAAAAATTCTCCTTAGATTTCTGACTTTTAAAACATTCTTTTTATAACTAATGAGTCTTATATAATTATCTAAAAAAAAACTAGATATACTAAAAATGTTCATTCTTACTTACGTTGTCGAGTTTGATCTACTCATGCAGGAAACAATTTCTTGTAATTTTACAATTTCCGCATTTTTCATCAGAAAAAATAATCATCTCATTAGTAGAAATCTTTTGAGATTGAACAAATGAATGAAATACTTTAGTAATTATAATTTTTTTTTAATTTTAGATATGATGTAATACATTTTTTTTTAAGAAATCATTATGTATTCTTTCATTTTGATTACTCGGAAGAAACCCTTATCATGAAGAGTGTATAAGGAAAGATTGACTGATTCAGTATTACGAGTGGGTCGTAAATGTTTTATAATCAAATGAAAGAAGAAAAAAAGATTTGTTCTTGATAGAACATAAATCATCTTATATTTCACTTTATTAATCATCCATCTGTAAGATCAATTACTTCTATATTGATGTCTTCTTTTCAGTCAGTATGTAGGTAATGCATTCATTTATATTCTTGACCTTCAATTGCCATCTGTCAACATAAGAAGTATAACAATTATATTCTTCCAAGCGACATGTAGATTTTAAAGAAGAAATTTAAATTTATAACATTTACCGGTATTGTAAATTTAACTTATCAGTAATAATGTTTATAACAGAGGAAAAAAAGGTCAAGGGAACAGAATCTTCTAAGGTAACAAAGCTTATAGCATTTATGTCAATAAAGAGATATAATATTCTTGAAATTTCCGATTAGGTATTTCTTTTTTTTCCTGAGATCGTAATACAAAACTTCCGTATGTACTGATCATAAGCTGGATCAAATATTTAGTAATCATATCTGTCACTTGATTTACCAACGACGTATATAGACAAAATACTATTCATTCCAATGACTCTTTTTTCATATTTTATCGTAATTTACTTTTCCTTTTTTTAAATTTATTCTTAAACGATTAGTCAATGTTAAAATTTATCGAAACAGATGATTTCAAGGAATGTATATTATTTTAAGTTAAATGTCTAATTCGAAGGACAATTACATATGAGGAAAAAAAAAGAAATTTTTTATCCTTGTAAAAAATGGTGCAATTCGTCGATCTAATTAATTCTTTATATAGCATAGTATCACGTCGTTTCTTTTTTTTTCGATTGTATATATATGGCATCATATGTATACTTGATGAGAGCATAAGCAGCAGTAACCCTATCATCATCATCCTGGAACTATTCCTGTCTAGTCGCACATATATATATATATATGGATATATGTATTGCATTCGCCTGGTTTTCTTTTTGCTGCTGCTGCTGTTGCTTCTACTACAGCTTGTCGTCGTCATTGTATAGTTGTGTCAGAGAGAGAGAGAGAGAGAAAGAAAGAAAGAAAGGATGGATGGAGAATAGCGACATAAAGGCATCAGCTCGAGGGTTCTGTGCATGCTGATGGGGCGATTTTTTTTTCTTCTTGTCTTATGCTCTTATTCCCTTTTCGCTGCCGCGCGGTGAACTGGCCAGACCCATTCCCAGCGACCGACCGTTTTTTTTCTTCTTGTATTCTTCTCATTGGTCGAAGTAGTTATTAATATAATCATAGTAGAAAGAGAGACATAGAGAGGGAGAGAGAGACCGCGAGATGGAGAATAAGTAGTTCAGAGTTCATCAGGCGAAAAGAAGGAAAAAAAAATTGTGCATGGTCGTTTTTTTTTGATGGTTTGAGAAAAAAAAATCGACAAAGAAGAAGAAGAAAGAAAGAAGTCCATTCATCCACCACTCAGGTGGAAGAGAGAGATTGTACACATACACACACGTCACTCTCTCTCTCTCTATCGTTTCTTTTTTTTTTTCTTCTTTTTTTTTTCTTTCTCTCTTACCAGTATAGTATAGAAGGGTCGAGCATGTAGGCGTTAATCATCACATTCATATTTCTCGCTTTCGTCGTCGACTGGACATTGCTACGCGCGGTACATTAACGTTCGTCGTTCTTCTTATTCTCCGTTCATCATTCATTCATTCATGAACTTATCATACCCTTATTTCTTGCTTTTTTTTTATTCTAGATATAGATATATATATATATATTTAGAGATTATTTTTTTATAAATAAAATCATGCCGAGTGCAGCAATAATTGATCCATTCGTTACTGATTATCAACGTTCATCATTACTTATTCCATCATTTAATAATGAATTTCCAATACAATTTCAACAACAAACACAACAACAACAACAAGCATCCGATTCACTTGGTAAAAAAAGTCAAAATATGACCGAATGTGTACCGGTGCCAAGTTCGGAACATGTAGCAGAAATTGTTGGTCGACAAGGTTGTAAAATAAAAGCTTTACGTGCTAAAACAAATACTTATATAAAAACACCAGTTCGAGGTGATGAACCAGTTTTTATAATAACTGGCCGAAAAGAAGATGTTCATATTGCTAAAAAAGAAATTCTATCAGCTGCTGAACATTTTTCACAAATACGTGCTGGTAATTATTTAATATATTCATTTAATAAGACAATTCTTTTCTTTTTTCTATTCTAGCTCGTAAACAACAAAATAGTACGAGTAGTTCATCGAATAGTAGTACTAGTAGTGGAAGTAATACCAATTTACATATTAATAATTTAATATTACCAAGTCAACAAACAACTATACAAGTTCGTGTACCATATCGTGTTGTTGGATTAGTTGTTGGACCAAAAGGTGCAACAATAAAACGTATACAACAAACAACAAATACTTATATTATAACACCAGGTCGAGATAAAGAACCTGTTTTTGAAATAGCAGGCTTACCAGAAAATGTTGAAGCGGCACGTATTGAAATTGAAAGTCATATTGCTGCACGTACAGGACAATCATCATTATCAGGTACTCAATCACCTGTTGAAGACAATGATGATACAAAATGGATAAAAACAAAATTTTCTCATCATTTATCACTTCCATTCAACAATAATAATAATAATAACAATAATAATAATAACAATAATAATAATAATAATACAATTGATGATAATAAACATATTCCATTACGCACGGTATCTCAATCATCTTATTTTCCATTAGAAGATAATTCATTAATGAATCAATCATTTGATTTTGGTTCATCATTTGATTTAATCAATGAACAAACATCAACCGATAATAATAATAATACAATATTTGATTCAGTTTGGTCAAATTTTAGTCTTTTATCATTAAAAACATCATGAATATATATATATGTATGTGTTTATATATATATATATACACACTCTCAGGTATGAATAATTCTTAGTGTGTGTGTGTGTGTGTTATTTAATTTATTCTGTGTATTTTTTTACCTTTATTTGTTTTGTCATCGTGTACAGCTATCTTGATCAGGGACATTATATGTATTAACCCGGAAAAAAATTAAATAAAGTTTATTATTCTTTTACTTTATTATATTATAAGATCTATCTCATTGTGAATGAGCATGTGCTTGTATGTGTGTGTGTGTGTGTGTGTGACCCACTAGTCCTAAGTCATTTGTGTGTGTTCCCTATTCAGGAAGTCAAACTGCTCAAACGTTTCTTTTTCTTGTTTGTTTTTTAGTTGTAGGTATCTATCTATATGTGTATGTGAGCTTTGAGCCTAACTTATTTTTTTCTGTCGTTTTTGTTTGTTTGTTTCTTTTTTTTTTGTCAACAACAAGTCTAGGCGCGTAGATTCTTTTTTTTCTTCTTCTTTTCGGGTGTGTGTGTTTAGTATAAAATACCTGTTTGTGTGTTTAGAAAAACAAAAAAAACTTATGTGAAAATCTTTGCACACATATATATCATTTATTAGTTGCTATTATTATTATTTTTTTTGTATGCTCCGCATTATTCAAGAGAAAGAAAAACCATACAATTTATAAGAAATTTCGTCTCAGGTACAAAACAAATCTATGTATACGTGCGTGTAGTTTTTTTTTTTTTTTATATTTTTTTCTCTTGCTTGAATAAAACGTGCAGGGACATTTATGATGTCTGTCTATCTATCTACTGATTGTTTTTTTTTTGATTGATGATATGAAAGAAAAGATATGTCATTATGTGAATACGAGAGAGAGAAAAGAAAAAAAACCCTTGAATGTCTATGTTTTTATAATAAAGGTTAATGTCCATTGTGTCCGTATGTTGTTTGATCTAGTCAACATACAGTACCGTACATATATATATATATTTGCGCGAGTTCATCGAACGGTCAAAGTCATTTTGATCGTTTCTCTCTTTTTTTCTTTTATTCTGTTTCTTCATCACTAAGCCAGCTGTTTCATTGCAGATACTTTTCAATTTATGATTAAATACTGATAATCGATTTGAAATATTCTTAATCTTTAAAATAGAGAAAATGAACTAGTTTTTGATTACATCATTGTTTTAATATGATGCAATAATACTCGTTGATTAATCAACCTTTTTTTATTGAAAGAAAAATAACACTTGTTCTTTTTATTCATAGTGTGAATTTATATTTTTTAATCATGTCAAGATCTTTATCATACACATATTGTTTGATGATGATGATGATCATTTGTAATTATATTGGTGAATATGTGTCGAGATTTCACACTGTGTTTATTCGTTTGAACTCATTTGTATTCAAACTCATTGTCTACAAACATAATCATCTTGATCAGTTTTCTTAAGATGAAAAAAAATCAAAACTACAAACACTATCGATATATATATATATAATGATCTGTATCGAATGTTTGTATTTTTATCATGTTCATTTCCTGTTTATTAAAATTGATAGATATAAGAGACTCATATGGCATGTCAATATTGACCGGCTGGTCTTTTCTTTTCTCCTTATGTATGTCCAGATGTATACTTCTCTTTTTTTTGTTGTGTATGTTTATTTATAAAGAAAATTTCGATGATGTGAAATCTACATCCGGAAGGATATTTTTATATTTAGTAGATATGATTCGAGTTTTTTACACACTTGAACGAATGACATCATTGATCAAGATAACGGTCAATAAGGTGTTGACAAATCAACTATAGCTCAATGATTAATAGACATAATGGGAAAAACTCTTTTGTGATCGATGAGCTATAATTTTGCCTTAAGCATAACGAAAAGAAAGAAATAGACTTCATCTCATTTGTCCTATATTTAAAGTAAAGATTTCAATTGTTATTATAAACTAATTAATGCTTCTAGCATTTAAATTCTAAAGAAAAAGGTTAAATATTTTAGAAATAGAAAATGTGTTAGTTTAATGTATTTCATATAACATACATTATCATTAGAAAAACATCAATACTTTGCTATTTGTATTTCACACATCTATTGAATTATATTATCAATAACGAATTATATTTGCTTTAGTCTAGAACAATATCCTACATTTTTGAATTAAATAAAAATGAAAAGAATACTCATTGTTTTTACCTCTTCTAGATAAAAATGACTCATCTGTGTTCTTCATGTAAACAGATCATTGTAAATAATTCTTTGAGAAAAAGTTGTGGTTCATGTCAACAAATATTTTGTTCGAAATGTTTATATCAACGTATTGCTGTACCGAAATTAAATTATCAAATGCAAGAAGTTTGTACACCATGTTATCATTCCATTGGTACACAAATGATGTTACAAAAACCACCAAAAGGTTTTACGCAAAGATTAGAACAACAACAACCACAACAACAGCAAGTGAGAATGCCGGTCAATCAAATTGATCCTGAAACAAAAGCACTTGAAGAACGTCTTCAAAAATTACGTATGGATTTCCCATCATCATCATCAACAACAGCTGCTGCTGCTGGTGGTGTTGCTAATACTCCGGATGATCTTCTTCGACAAATGAACGATGAATTATCGATTCAAAACAATGATCAAAATGCTCTTGCAGATCGTCTACGTATTTTACATGAAACAATGCCTGCTGCAACTCCAGATACTGTTATTCTACCGAAACCAAAAGAAGAAGTTGCCGATGATGATGAAGATGAAGAATTTCCATGGTGTACAGTATGTAATGATAATGCAACAAAACGGTGTCTTGATTGTGATGAATTATTTTGTGAATCATGTGTTAAAAAAATTCATCGTCAATCATCGTATAAAAATCATCAATTAGAATCATATAAACCATCAGCAAAAGCAAAGAAAAAATACAATTATTAAAATATCATTTGGTAACATATGGATTGATCCTTTTTTTCAAGGCAAAAGAAAACAGCGGGATAAGTACTTATTTTTAACAGAAAGAAAACATCTGCTTCAATATGAATCCACTATTTCTTCTTGTTCGTCGTCTTCTTTTTTTAATATTTAAATAAAATTAACATTTCTATATTGAGAAAAAAAAACACTTGATAAACATATAAAAGCATCACTCACACTCACTCATTTATTTTGCTCAAGGCTATGTTGTCTTTAAATATTCTCGTCTAATATTAATTAAGAAAGTTTATATATGAGAAGCCTGTCAATCTTTCGAATGAGTTCATTAATATTGGTATATATGCATGAACACAAATGAATTCGATTTTTTTCTTCTTAAGATTAACAGCTGTTTGCTTGAAATTGGACACGCCCTAGATTTCTATTTCATTAAGCATAACAATTCTAATTGTAAATTTTTTGAATAAAAAAAAAAGAAATGTTTTATAATATCGATATAAATATAATATGACTTATTTCATATAAATTTATCGTTTGTGTGTGTGTTTGATATGAATGAAGATATGGTTAAGTTAGAAGGTAAAACCTTGACCTGAAAAGATAAGAAGAACGAAAATGAATGGATAAAATATAAATTTATATCTCTGTGAATGATACATTTGTCAATATTAAATATGTGAAAAGAAAAGAAATGTTTTATAACTTGTCACAGTTTATTCATAGGTTTGATGTGTTAGAATAAATATTTAATTTTTCTGTTATTAACAAATAAAATGATAATAGAATTTGTATATTAAATAATCATAAAAAAAGATAGAAAGAAAAATTCAATGGTCTTGTTATCTTGATGGCTGATTTAAGTATTCAAATAATTCATCTAAGAAAAAAGGGAGTGACATGCCCTGAGATAACGGCAATCTCGAACAAAAAGCAAACATATAGAGTTCTTATATCATATATGAAATCATTGCAGAAAACAGCAGAAATTTTACTAATGACATTTTGAAAGTCTAATATAACGATTTTGTTTCAAGTAGAAGATTCAAAGAAAAGGACAGGATATATTGTCTCGGACTTGGAATCGTGTCGATTTTCATCGGTCTTTTTTTTATTTTTAGAAAGTTTTTGTGGCATTAAAACTTACTATTTTACTTGTTTCTAACAGTTTTCATGGTATCAATAATCGAGAGATTTGAACATATAAGTTTTCATACTTACATTTTAAGATCAAGATCTTATCGATAATTATTATCATGTAACTGTCAAAATATTTAACTATCAAGAGACCTTAGATAAGAAATCTAATTTGAAAACTCTACGTTTTAGCTTTTTTTCATCTATTTATCGGTAGTAGCATTCTTTTTATGAATTGAGATATCATTCAACTGTGTTAGATAATTGTTTCAAATAAAAATAGATTAAATTTGTTAAGTGTAAAGAAACGAGTCAGCCAAAAATCGTTAGATATTAGGTATCAGTTGTTGCGAGTTCTTAGTCAAAGCTATTTTGGAAGAATTTTTCGTTTGCTCTTCATATTAGCACATGATCCGTAACAGCTGTTACTATTAGAAAAGTAAAGAATACACTGATTATCTGCTGATTAAATCATCGGCTTCGACTGGTCGGTCCAGTCTGGTTTGGAAAAATCAGATCCGTTCCAGGTCTGAAATAGTATGTAGATATGAGTCAGTTGATGATAAATAATAAATCATCAGCGTTGTTTCAACATATGTTAGTTTAAATTTTCGATTTGGATGAACTCATGTGTTGAATTAGTGTTACCTGCATTTTAACAGTATATAAATTTGACTGTATTCTAGGATAATCGTGATAGTTGAGAAATCATTTCCTAGTCGTTCTAAAGATAAACAAGCAAGAAAAGCTTTAATAAACACATTTTTTGATCGTAAAAACGAGCAAAGAAGACTTTATTTTCTGATCAAATTTATATATTGTGTGTTTCGTTTACTATATACTTATGTTTCACTTTATTTTCAGTCACTTCTATGACAACTATTGTAGGAAATCATGTACAATTCAGTTCTCTTTTACTAGTTTTTTCTGTTTTATATATTTGACTATTGAACTAAAGAAAGATAAATCTTTTGGGTTTGAGCAATGTTATATTGTCAATTTTTACAAATTATAATATATACGAGAGTTTAACTGTTTCCAACTTTCGAATCTTCAATAGCATAAAATATAAAAGCAGAAAGAAAAAAATTTCTTAAAGATTCGTTTTGTTTTGATCAAAATACATAGTAAAATTTTGTTTTCGCGGATTATTTTAGTGATTGACAAATGTACACACAATTAACCATTTCTTTTTCGTTCTCTATTTAATACTAAGGAATGTCTGCGTTAATCTTTGTTTGTTTTTCTTAACAATATCCACAATTATTACTTGTAATATGTTTTTGTATGACTTATATAGTTTGATCTTCTATTATAGACAATTTCATGACTGTATCTAATTGAACAACTACCAAAGGAATTATTACAATATGAGTTACATGCATGTTTATAACTGAATAATGTAAAATAGATGCAACCCGAATGAATATTGATCGAATCGCTTTTCGATTCGGTACTAAAAGAAAAGAAAGATACTGAATTTTGTTAATACGATTATTTTCTTGAATTCTATATTCATCTATTAATGAATGTTGGTATTGTTGAAAGGTATTAGAATCAAGTTTTAATTGTAAGATTTGAAGTTCATTAGAAAAATCATCGTTAAGAATACGTTGAATAAGATATTGCCAACCTTGACGAGAATAAGAAATGGAATCTTTTGAGATTTTTTTACTTGAATTTAGATCTTCAAAAAAATCATGCTAATAAAAGTATAAATGGAAAAAAACAATTTTTTTATGTAATAAAAACTATACTTTGGAATTATCAGCAAGAAAATGTATCCTAGACATAAATAATAATAACGAGAAAAAAAACGCGCAGCTCAATGATTTACAGAAGTTCAATAGTAACATAATTGGTAAAATATAAATCAGTAATAAAATAGCTAAAAACTACTACCAATATTAGGATTTTCGAATTTCACCAACATAGTCATAGAAAATTCTTTAGTGTCATTATGTGATTACATATGTATAACAATAGCTCCTGGTAACTATATTGAGGAGTTTAGACTATACTATGCTTATTCTGATAGTATCAGGTTAATTTATCATATGTATTTTACACTAATCTTGTGTTATTACAGTTGGCGAAGAGAAAGTAAGCTCCAATATTAGCGAAAATAAAAGAAAAACTTAAAAGAAAAGATCGTATAATTGTATCATCCGACTTGAGTAAATATGACTCAGAGATTAAGACTCGTGACAATACTGAGATTTTTTTATTTCAATTTCTCTTAGAATTAAAAGAGAATAGAGATTCTTACATCTTTCATCTTTATTCTTAAATTATTAAAATCAAAACTTAAACTAATAGTAATTTATAATAATCAAATGATAGATGAATTTCATTATTAACTAAGATTTATTAAATAAAAGAAATTTTAAATGGAAGTTTAATCAAAACTCATCAATTCTGATCTTCAAATACTTATTCAAAAAAATATTCCCTAGACTGAAAAGGATAGGGTCTAGAAACGGGAATTATCTTTT